CCCCAAAACCCCAAAACCCCAAAACCCCTCAAGTCATGCATTTAATAAAATTTAAATGAGGGAATGTATGATTAATTCAAACTAAACATTTCTATATTATCTTCATCATCATTTTAAGATTACTCATTAAGCCTCTTATCATTGGCTTGATGCTTTCAACTTTATTTTGAGTTTTTCATTCTCAGTCTCCTCTAGTTCTAGTTTTTGCTTAACTTGGTGCAGTTATCTATTGATTTCCTACCTCTCTATCTCTTCTAGTTCTTCTTGCTTCCTCATCTCTTCTATTAACTCCAAAATTTAAAGTCTTCTACGCATTTCAGCTAACTAGCTATCACTAACTTCACAATCCTTCTCTGAGAATTCATTCCTTTGTAATCTCTCCATTTGATTCTCTATCTTAGTTTCTATAGACATAAAATTAATCAAATATGATTACAATACAGCTGCTTAGATTCCATGTACTGTTCAAACTGATTCTCCATATCATTCTTCCTGCTATTAAGTCTCTCAACTTAGTCTTCTAAAATGATCTGCACCTTTTTCATATCTTCATTCTGCAGTGTCATCAACTAGACATCTTCACTCGAATATAACTTCTTAGCTTTAATTTATTGAATTGTCTCACTGTATGTTTTCTGTCTAGTCATTGGAGCTGTTCCTCTCGAATGCTCATCTTCAGAATTAGAAGAGGAGTCATTAAAGAATAAATCCTAGTATAATTGATCCTTCACATCCAAGTCTTGCTTCATCTCCTAAAGTACACTCGTTTCTAAAGTGATTCTGGCATCTTTACTGGTATTGCTCACAAAGCTGAGCTCACTTATAAGATTTTTCTTGCCTACAAATGAGCTTGCATCAAATCTCACCCTTCCCAAGACTTTATCCTTCTTCGACTATGTACTCTCTTATTTAAGTTTGATAACAACCTATTTGAATTGAATGCTATTTAACGAAATATACCATCTTAGGTTAATACTTCTAAGTGTGCTAGTTTTTGTAAAAGACTGAAGTCTGCTCAAATATCTCACTAATCTCCACATTCTTTGAATCCTTGTAAATGGCATATCTATTCTATCCAATGATTCTCTTCTTGCCTCTCTTGATTTTAATGTATATCCCATAGAGGTCCTCAGGAGTTAAGTAGCTTACTGAAACAATGCGGATGTGCATCTTGTATGTCTCCTGCTGCACATCCTTGGAAAGTCTGCTAATGTATCTAGACATATTTCTTTGCTGTTGATTGATTTAATTAATGTTTATAGCTAATTATTTTTATTAATCTCATATTTATAGCATTATCCTTAAGATCACTCATTAAGTTAATTTCTAGATGAACTTGCTCTGGATAGTACAGTCTCTGAAGTTTTTACCGTAAAAGTTCTGCGCTTTGTAGCCAGTTCTATGACCTGTGTAACCAGCTACAGGAATTTTCACTAACTCTTGCTGACTGTCAGTGTTACTCTGAGTCTTATTAAATCCATTAGTGGCCTAAGAACTTTGTCTCTTGATGGTAGTGGCTGCTTTCTGGAAACCTTCAGTCATATTTAAGAAATTCTAATCATTCTCCATGTTTGAATCCTTTATCCTGGCTTTCAAAGGGTTAATGTTGAAAAATGGATCTTTCCTGTGTGCAATCGAAACTGTCTGAGGTCTGTAAACTGATTTATAACCCTAGTAGCCAACTGTTGGCATTTCAAGATAGACATTTCTTCTCTGAATCTCTAAACCTGAAAATCTATATGAAGTATTAATAAAAGTTGCAATTTACTCTGCATCTTTGAAGTTCAAGGCGTGGGTATGGTCTTTGATATCTGCTGGCTCTGGCTGATCCTTTATTCTCCTGAAATTAGTCTTGTTAAACTAATCGTTGTTGGTAGTTAAGAATCTTTCATTGGCTGGAAGTGAGATGCCTTGAATATATTCTTTATTGATTGCTTATGCTGTTGACTGAGCGAATGATTTTCCATAGAGATTCTCAGCCTTGATATTTGGCACGTAGCCCTTATACCCTGGAATATGTTGAGCCTTGACATTGTTAGATGGTCCCCCTATCCAGTTGTCTCCATGCTTGGATACGTTGCCATATTAAAGACCGTGAGTTGAGTCATCTTTAAGTGGAGGTTTCGAGTAGAATGTCCTCTATGCAAAAGCTGCATCATTTCCCTTTGATAAATCAACATCATAGTTGGATGGCTTGTAGCCTTGGCCTGTTATTATTCTATTTATGTCGCCAGCAGTACATCCATAGATGTCATTCTTCTTGGGCACATGGCCTGTGTAGCCAGGCAAATATTCTTTTTAATAGTGGATGTCTCCCATTTTATTTTGAAAAGATTATGAAATTTAAAACTAACTAACTGATCCAATTTCATGGGGTTTTGGGGTTTTGGGGTTTTGGGGTTTTGGGG